ACCCTAACCCTAACCCTAACCCTAACCCTAACCCTAACCCTAACCCTAACCCTAACCCTAACCCTAACCCTAACCCTAATCTTGAGCGATAGTGCTAAGGGAAGCGTGCTAACTATCAACTATATAAAATATATCCCCACAACTAACTAATAAAAGGTCCGTTTTACACTCTAGCTATCTAGGTATCTAGCCACGTCTTACCTCCAACGACACGATTAAACTACCTAGATTAAATCCTAAGAGTTACAACAAGTCACGAGAAGCGTAAAAACCCCCTGTGTTAAGAATATAAACAACCCTTTAGATTTAATTCATTTCATTTTAATCCATATAAAACCTCCTATACTATCAAATCCCCTATCCCTCTCCTTCCCTACATCATTATATCTCTCTTACCCCAAACCCTTGAACATCGTATCTCTGTCGGTCTGTCTGGTACTTATCAAAAGAGAAGAGAGAAAAACCAAGGAAGAAAAGAAGAACCAAAGTAAATGCTTCAAGTTCAAGCTCGAGTTCAATGCGAGATCTATCTCCATATCCCCTTCTTTGCCCCTTGTCCTTTACACTTCCTAGCCTTGCCTTCTTTCACCTGCCAGTTTGAAAAGAGGAAAACAAATCCACAACGTACTATAAACCCCTCCATCAAACAACCTATCCCCGGAGTAAGAAAAAGCGCACCAGAAAAAAACAGTTGCTACACTACCCCGTCGAGATTTCAAATTGTTGTCTTCCGCCATCAAGAACAAAATGATGTTTCTCATTTCAAAGAAATTCTCGTAAAGAAAAAATCAATTCCATATCATCTTCTTTTCCGCCTATTAATCTTCCACTCGTCTTTCGTCGCATTCATGTCATGAAATGAGAAGAAATCAAAGGTAAGAGGTGTGTTGTTGAACCAAAGGAGGAAAGAAACGCCGTGCTAGTTGAACAAATACGTTTTGATTGTGTAGCCATGGAAGTCCATGGCGGTTCTTTTGTCTTTACTAGACCCTGCTAGCGGTAGGCCGATCCTAAAATTTATTTCCTGCCGTATCCCGTGTACTGTCCATCAGATGACCAATCCATTAGCATGTTATTTTGATATTGTTGGTGTTGTTGTTGTTGATGATGGTGTTGATGCTGGTGATGATGCTGGTGATGTTGCTGGTGATGTTGCTGCTGCTGATGATGATGAGTAGCAGCGGCTGTACCTGCGGCATAGAAATTCAAAAGATCTTGAGCAGACACACCAGGAAAGCCATGACCAGCTGGAATTTTACCAAAGAGACCACCGGGAGATGCGTGGTTGGACATGACACCACCATTGGAAGGGAATAATTGGAAATCAGTAGAATGGCCAATTTGTGGATTGCAGTTGTTGGGTGCAAAATCCTCGAAACCTTCATCAACTTCACGAAGAGAGGTGGGTGTGTAAAGCATGGTATTACCATGTCCAATTGGGGAGATGTGTGGGATAGGATCGGCACCGTATGGGATACCAGAAGTTTCAAATCCAGCCAGTGCTCGTTGAAAGACATCATGGCTGGGTGTTGGAAGTTGAACGTTAGCACTGTAGAGATCCTCGTTCTCAAATAGACTAAAATCGACGTTGGTGTTTGTGAAATTTGGGAATGGATCTTGATCAAGGCTGAGGTTTGCGGAGAAAGGAGACTGTCCGTTGGATGAGCCAGACTGATGAAGGTCGGAGATGGGGGAGAAATCAACTTGTAGCGGTTGATTAGGAAAGAGAGTGTCCAACTCGGATGGGTCGTATGCGGGAAAGGTCAATTGGTTCAATTGGTTGTTGGTAGAAAAACCCATACCGCTGCCAAAGCCCGACATATCGTACTCACGTTCCTCGGGAGTGGTAACCGAGTGTCCATCACTGCTTGGGGTTTGAACATGGGTTGTTTGTGGAGTAGCTAACCCGTTGACGGTATTGGTAATTGACTTGCCCTCGCGGTTCTTTCCGTTGCTTTTCGATCGAACATACTCCCATCCATGTGCCTTTTCCATGTGCTGCTTGCAATTTGACTCACGCTTGGATCGGTACGGGCAAGGTTTGTAGTGGCACTCATACAATGGTGGAGCAGCAGAGTGCTTGTCATTGTGGTGTCTATCCATCTCCTTTTCGGTTGGCCATCCGTACTCGTGGTATTTGCAGGACTCGACGGGGCACTTCCATGGTCGAGAGTGAGTTTTCTCGTGTTTGGTTAGATCACATGGGCGCTTGAATTCTTTGTCACATCCAGGTTCACGGCAACGTTTTGGTGCAAGTTCCGCAGCTGAAGCGGATCGCTTACGTCGGGCCATAGATCGCATGATTGCCTCGTCGTCCTCAGCCTCTTGGCTGAGAGATCGCTTGAATCTCAATGATTCCTTGGTATCCTCGTCTTCCAAGTCGACGGGAAGTCCGGTAGCTACGGAAATAGCCTTGCCGTTCTTCTTTACACGCACCAACTCAGCTGGTCGACCATTTTTAGTAAGCCCGCCATGAAGGCGAACTTCATCGGTTCTAAAAGATGTGTTAGCATTCATTGTTTTGGAATGAAATTGAGACAGGGTGTTGCAGTCATTGATGGAATGCTTCGGTCGAAACTGAGGGGTGTGTGTGAAGGGGACATACGGTTCAGGATCCATCTCGGAAAGCGTCTCTCCCTTCTCTTTCTTTTCCTTGGCCTCTTGAACCTGTTGAGCGTATTGCTTGATCTGGTCGACGAGATCGACGAAGTAGCCGTTAGTATAAGGTCGGTCGTGTGGTCGGGTCTGTTCTCGCTCGCTCAAAAATTCGACCGTCGCTTGGATACACCGGATAGACGTGAGGCAGAAGTCGAGATACAAGGCGGCCGTCTTGGTCCTCTCCTTCAAACACGAAAACCAGTGAGCAACACCTCCGGCAACATCATCAGTAGGGGAATCACTTACCGGTGCCATGAAAATCAACGTCTTTTCCAAATCACGAAGACATACAATCTCCTTACCGTGAATTCTTCTTGGGCAATCCTTCACAATCGGGTGGAAGTCTCGGAGTGAAGGTTTGGCCAATAGCGGTCTCAGGATATGTTCCTGGATGCGGTTGCTGGCGCGAGAACTGAGTCTGGGAAGCTTCTCAATGGTCGAATGAGCAGCAACGGATCTAGTTATCGCTGATGCTGCAGCTTTCGCTTTGGTGCGTGCCTCTTCGGTGACGGTCGTAGGGCTGGTCTCGCCAGTGTTCTTGCCAGTGTTCTTGCCAGAGCGAGAACCAATGGACGAACCCAATGCACTGTCCGAATACCTGGAAGGGCGACGGTTGTGTCGTGGACGAAGAGAGCGTCCTCCAGCCGAGGAAGGCTCCTTGGACATGACCCCGTCCATGATGGGACCGTATGGTTTAGCAGTTGGTTTACCGACGGTGTGGTCAAGGAAGCTTTGGGGAACTGGATCAGCTTCGTCGCGGAAGGAGTGTCTTGTAGTGGTTGGAGAATGGTCCTCGAGGGTGGTGGCAGCGAGACCACGGTCAATGTCAGCGAGGTTTAATGCAACACGTCGTTTGTGAGCATCAACGACATCCTCCAGAGTTGATTGGGAGCGACGAGGAGGGCCACGAGATGAAGAAGTCTCGAGGTCGGGACTATAGGGAACGTGAAAGGTAGCACCTTTACGGAGGGACATATTGGTATTAACCTCTGGACGGCCTGACGCAGCGAGGAGCGATGGAGAAGGAGTCAGAGTAGACGATGAGGGCTTTGTACTTCGGCGGGGGTTGCTAAAGGACATGATGGGCGATGGAGGGGAGATGGTGGTCAAGGTATGACGGGTTCGCGGGAGCACTAGGGACAGGACTGGGACTGGGAGTAGTCGGAGGCAGAGGAGTATCTGCTTTGGAAGCTGCTGTTGGTGTAGGTGTAGCTAGGATGTGTTAGCCCTGTACGATGATCCTGTTCAACGTTCATGCACGCAAGTCCCCAGTGAGTCACCGATGAATCGAGTCAACACCATCGGCCAGTCAAGGCGTCCCGATTGAGAAGGGTCACGGCGGGCAGGAGTGAAGCCATTCCCGATTTTGATATATAAGGCTGATTCGGCAGCCGCCGGCACGCCGCCCACTGGATTCGATTGACCGGAAAGAAGAGGAATTGAGGACTCGTCGAGAAGGAGAGAGACGGTGGAAACTTACAATATCCAACACTCACTCGGTCGCGTGTGCCACGCTTTTCGGTGCGGTGCGATACGATGCGGTGCCGGTGAGCAGAGAGTGCTCGCCGAAGCCGTCAATCGTCGTTTTTTCTTCGTGGCAAAGCCAGAGCACCAAGAATGCGGCGAGAGTCAAGATCAAGCACGTAGACAAGAGGTCAAGAGACAAAAGCAATCGACTTCGAAGATCGTGGTCTCGGTGGGCGCGGGGAAAAGGCTTGAAGGTATGGGCGTTGCTGCCTAGAGGGTTGGAGCGTGTTGGTGAATTGGGTATATAGAGACCACTGCCGGCCGCTCTGAAACGGTTCCCTCTTGGTGCTGGAGGACGTGAGGTGGACGTGGACGTGCTGTGGGCGTGGGCGTGGGCGTAGGCGTAGGCGTAGGCGTAGGCGTAGGCGACCAAGTAATGGAACGGGGCAACGCAATGGGCATTCGTGGCCACTCGATGGGGATGGGGATGGGGATGGGGATGGGTTGGCGGTGCTGCCAAAGTCTTCCTATGAAGAGTGAAGTCGGAGGGAGGCACGGCCAGACAGACGACTGTTGGCGTTGGGTGAAGGTGCCGGTGAGATGAGGGATGGGTGAAGCTGGCGAGCCTTGTCTATCAGTCTACCTTGGGAACCACTGCTGCCTAGAATTTTCACGGCTATCCAATACGACCAGACCCGCAATTCGCTCGTTTATTGCCGCTACATCCAATAAGAGCGCGATCTGTCGGGAGGGATTGATAAGCACTAGTCCCCGTTAGATCATAGCGCCATGATTAAACGAGGGCCTTAGAAATGAATGGGTGATGATGGCTTCATGCTTTCACGGTGTTGCTGCTGCAGTGTAGGTATGGCATTGTGAAATGGCTCAATTAAGTTTTCCATGACTTCTAAATCCGTACCCACGACTCCATATTCTATCCAATCTATCATCATCCTCTACCCATTGATTGGTAGAGGAGCGAGTTCAGTGTCCTACATTCCAATTCTCACTCAGACTTCCTCCAACACACAAAACACAGATGAGCGCATATATGAAAATAATAATAGCAGCGGCTTTGCACCATCACGTCAAACCCCCCCCCGCCCTTGACGTGGCTGTGAAATTTTCTGACCTACCTCTGCCACTTACACTCGCATGGTGGTGGGGGGAAAGTGCAAAAGGTTGAGGCTCTGTTGCTGAATCGGGTCAACGGCACCCCGTCTTACGAACGCTACCAGGGGAAGATCCATATCTGCCACGCTGGAAGCCCTGGGGACCGTGTTGGGGGCCGCTTGCTGGGACGCAGGAGAGCGGATCGAGAAATGGAGATGAAGATCATTGGGGTGTGGATGGGCCGGATGTTGGTTGGTGTTGGAAAAGGTGTCAACAACATCCTCACAAAGTAGCCAATTACGAAGTAAGAACCAACTGGCGATGGTAGGCCGCTTGGTTGCCGCTTAACCTTCGAGTAGGTAACTTGATGAAAAAGGAAACAATTATAGACATTGGACTTGTGCTAGGTAGTAGTGTATTCTCGCTACCAGGAAAAATCGAAACCCGCCCACCAAAAAAACAGTGGGACGAAAAATGGCGAATTGGAGATCATTGGGGGCCAAAATCCGGAGCTTAACAAGTAGAAGTATATAGCAGACCTCCCAAAAAGGGAACTGGGCGCTGCGATAATATACAGTTTGATTACCGGTGAATAGTTCGGTATGGTTCGGTACAAAGTGTGGTGTGGTGTGGTATGCAAGGACAAACGAACCCACCAGCGGGGATTGGCTGGGGGGTGGATGGTGGGAAGAAAAGTACCCATTTGTGTCTTTAGGAGATAGTGCTCTAGCACGACTACGACTTTAATCTATTACCTAAGCTAGGTGCTACTCACAGAGAATTTCTTGACTATTATTTATCGATACCTACTATTTTTCCTATAGTAGGATCAATAAAAAACAAGGCTTACGATTGGTCGAGAAACGAATCTACCTGGCTGTAACGAATACTCAAACTGGCTAACTAAACTTGGCTGGGTGTTCGCTGGTTGGTATGCTATGATAAGAAGAAGACTATCGGGTTGTTCACTTGGAAGTGAACTCGTTACTTGTATCAAAGATGTCAAACTAATATGATAAGATTGATAACTAAGTTGAGCACGAAGCTCCTATCTAATGGCAGACGTGCCAGTCTTATATAGAACCTTCGTTCTCTGTCTAATCGCTTTAGTCGCTCGCCTCAGTCGCTTCAGTCGACAGGCGACTCAGGCGACTGAAGCGATCATGGTCACGTGGTACTTTAATCCGACGAAATCCATGGATCGCTTAGCTAGCCTAAGGATCCCCTTCTGCTATAAGAGTTATGATAATGCTCGACCTGTCAGGGCGCCGCCTGGTCTTCACTATCTCCCGTGGTAACACGTGATTCGTGACACTGGCACCCCACTCTAGTCCAACCTTAAGCCCAGCCCACTCGAAGAAAAGTACCCATTTATATCTTTAGGAGATAGTGCTCTAGCACGACTACGACTATAATCTATTACCTAAGCTAGTATTGACATAAATTTTCTGAACCTGTTTGTCGTCGATACGGAGTACTCTACTATTTTCTATAATCAATAAACATCAGGACTTACTATTGGTCGAGAAACGAACCCACTTCTACCCTAGTCGTTTAGCCCACTCCTCTCACCGAGTACCCATTTCTGTCTTGGGGAGATCGTTCGTGGCACGACCACCATGAGTAATCATCTTGGCACGATGAACATGAACCTGAACAGAAAGACCACCCAGTTGAATCGGCTCATCGTCGCAGGAAATCACGTACTCCTACATTATTCGCCGCCGTCTCTCACTCCCGAACTCTCTTTTATCCTATCGAACCTAAGCGAATCAACATCATCTCCCGGATATCTAAGCCATATGAAGATCAACATGCACAGCCAAATCCCCAATCATCATCCTTAACACTGTACTCACACATCCGAGTAACTCCTAAGCATTCAATATCTCCCCTTGACTCTTCAACACCCTCCCTTTTCTTTTCCTACCTTTCCCTCCAATCGGCACCTTCCCATTCCCTTTTCTTCATAGATGAGTCAAGCCCAAGATCAAGATCATGATCATGAAAGATCTGCCGCCTCGCCCTGTTCCCGTCTCGCCGCAGGGCTGCATATATTTCCATACGAGAGCCATGGCTATTGGTGTATCTATAGTCTGCGCAAAAACTAGGGTGCTGCTGTGTTTTAATCAGGGGCGCTGGATCGCAGGAGAATACTCCGTATTGTGTTATGTTACGGGCACTTTGGTTGTACTTTGTTGTATTACGTAGCTTCGTAAATTCATCCATTCGGCGTAACTCTTTATTTTATTCCGAATATACTATATAATATAGTACTAACGAGGTAATGAGGGAAGAAAGAGAATAAACCACACTGCGATTCTGCGAACTCAGTATACAACGACTGTATCCATTCTCTATTCTTATCGTAGTAGTAATAGTTACTTTTACGCTTAGAAAGGGGTACTTGTTATAACTAAAGCCTAGTTACCCGGCTATTATAGTAACTGTTAAGAAAGGGAGATGCTCGCCGATCTTTGGGTTTCACGTCGCGGGCTAGTTTATTATAGATTGGAAGCCTAGTATATTTATTACTTATCTACGTAATATATACCTAAGATTATATTAGAATACGAGGAAGTATAGGAAGAGGGAAAGAGTACCTTAGTATATATTTACAAAGATCTCGTGATCGGGTAATCGCTATACCTGTATATAAATAGAATATGATTTATAGTTTAGGCTATTTAGGGGAACTATTTATTTTTATCTTTATAGTAGACTACGAACGAGGAGTTTACCTAGAAAAGAGAAGAGAAGAGATAAAAAGAATACGTACTCGTTTTTCGATATCTAGAAGGGGAGAGTCTCTAAATTCAGATAATATTACTTGAGTCGTTTACGAAAAAGGTTAGCTATCTCCTGCACGGTTCGGAGGTCTTTCGAAGAGCCACCGGGACGTGCTAACCGGGCCGAAAAAAACATGTGAATTCGTACTAAGATTTACGAACGTCTTCTATTGCTTATATTATAATTAGTAGATTATAATAAAGTTTCTATATAATATTCTGATTAAGAAGTTAGTCTACGGTTATAAGAAATATAAGACGATTTTACTTTAATTAAATCTAGTTCTTATTATAGAGTATAGTTACGTTTTAATTATGTAAAGGGTCTGGACAGCTTGGGTCTCCCCCCCCCTTGTCACTTAGGCCTTGTGATATACCTCCACATGAATCGGACAATTCAATTGGCTTAGAGGGCTATATTGTGGAGTTATACCCTGCCTATAACAAGTCGTATACAGGGGAGGGGGCGACGCGAGCTGTCCAGACCCTTTACCCTTATTGGCTCTTACTAACTAAACTTGAACTTTGAAGCAATTTCATAACTTGGCATTGCTAAGGTGTTAGAATAGCCCTATATTTATGTAATAAAACAATTCTACGCGAGGGTGCTCAATCCTGGTCCGAAAGACCTCCGAACCGTGCAGGAGATAGGATAAGCGAGGCAATTTAACGTTATAAAGTATGGAGTTCACGATTGACTATTAGACTACCTACCCTATAGCTAGCTAACTGCCCTAAAAAAGCATCTAACATTAAACGCATTCTCGCTAAGCAAAAATTCGGAGATAAAATACTCTTTACTTGTTTATTATTTCTAAGCTAATCTATAAAGGGCCGGTTCACTAATTATATACCAAGTATATTATAACTAGCATCTCTAACATCTTGCTTGATCGCTCGTCAGAGTTGACTCTATATTCTATCGAATTCGGTATCTGAATCAACACCTTCAAGTTACTGTATCTTTATTATGACAGCGGAGCTCGAGTTACCATCTACTAGCCCTCCAACCATTGATCTACTCAGAGAGGTAAACCATGTTTTGATGTCCTTTGCTCGTTACGACCTCGTAAGCTCTCCAATGAAAGAATCACTACTATCAACAGTAGTAGCGACGTCCGACGTGTACCAAATCATGATTTTCACGGACAGTCGTTGCTTACCGTTTGCGACGAATTTCTTCATGTTCTTGTTCCGACACGTAGCCACGATCCCATTTATTTCGTTGCTGTTCTTGATGATAATTGCGGAGAAGCTGGGGTTTTGCCTGTGACGCTAGATGTAGATAGGGAGACAGAGACTGCGAGAAACGACAAAACAAGGGTTCCTGTTGAGGAGTCGTTTTTTTATGCCAATTTGCAGATTGAAATATGACCCAGAAGGAAAATTATAAGGAATATGAAGAGGATAACAATCGGGCAACGATGGAAATAATGGAAACGACCAAAGCAATGGCGGTGGGAAAAAGTCAAAAGGTGAAGGATCTAACTACGAAGAAGTTGAAACTCAATCTACTATCAACCCGCATCATCGGTACCAAAGGACAATGAATTTGAGATTGTGTATTAAGCACATTACTAGGTATCACGTACTGAACTGAACTGTACGCAATCGATGGTCGTTTACCGACTATGAGACCGTCATGCGTAACTTAGATCCTCGATGAGTGCCTTTGTTCCGTTAGACGAACTGATCTATTGCCCCCCAGGTCGAGTTCTAGGGGACTGAGATGCTGTGATTGCTAAGGCTGCTCGCTCACATCCCATGCGTTGCTATAATAACAAATACTTAGCGATGTGAATGTTCTTCATTGTCGACTCGCCAAATCATGGTGAAAATGACCACCTCTGCTGGGATACAACTTCAGTGGGATGAGAAATTCGAAGACAGAGCATTAGAAAATTTGTAGCTACAGTATCGGCAGCTCCACCCTTGCTGATACCATATCCCCCAAAGAACATTCAAGAGTCTCTGATCGTACAGTACTTAACTTGTCAAAGCGGGATATCGACCATGGAAGTAACAGTATTAAACGTTCATGGCTTATTCTGGTCCTATATTGAAATATACCGATAGTGATCTACCAGCTCTTGATGAGGGCTTCAAGGCTAGAAATCAGGATTAAAGAGGTTTCAGGTAGATTACCGTGTGTCATAGGATGCAGAAGTTGTTGCAGTTGATGTAGACAAAATTCTTAAAGTTGTTATCGATTAGTATAAGGGGATTAGTTGCTAGGAGAAGTTCCGGGAATGTTCGATACATCCGCCCTTTTTATTTATATTATGCCTATTATGCTCTGATCCGACAAGATATAAAGGAGCCTAAAGAGTGAGGAGTAAGGCTATTTAGACGATGTTACCCTATAATATCGTAGGATATCTACTTAATCTCTCGTAAGATAAAGGCGGATTCTCTATAATTTTTACTAGCTAAATCGAGCACGGAAAGTAGATTTTATAATATAAAGATTATAGCACCTGATTCTGGGAACACCGGCCCTAGTTTAGATAAGCCTAAAAACTTCGAGTTAGACGACAGGTCTTTTCGATTGGAAATCTAAGATAGAGAGTAGAAGGCACTCTATACATAAAACTCGGTACTGAAATATCTATTCTTGTTACTCGGCTAGCCAGGCGAGCCATGACCCTAAATAATAAGTGCCGTAACAAAAACCATAGAAAGATACGTGGGTAAGCTGTCAATTGTCTATCCACCAGCTTATCCTGCAGATAACACGACGCCTAGAATTTGCTTCACAGTACATATAACCACCCATGCGACCCCAGTTTCCGACTCCAACCCCCACTATAATACTATAGTATAAATAACTTTTAAGTTAATAGAATAAAAAATATAAAGTAGGCTATAGAGTAAATAGAAATAAAAGTATATCTAAAGAATAAAGAATATCCAGCAAAGTTCTAAGTATAAAATAAGCTAATATATAATATATAAGTATATAACAGATACTAGCTATTTACTCGTCCCCCCTAATAGACAGAAGGCTATAATCCCTTATCCTAAAGACCTAAAATATCAACTTTAATACCACACTATGCATTCTTCTTGATCTCCATTCCAATAACCCTTCCCTTATCTTTCTTAATCGTCCCATTCGTAACGCCTACCTCCCTCCAGAAAAACTCCACATCTCCCATTCCATTGGAATCCAACACACCCCTTCTAGATATGCCCGACATCCTAATACTCTGGGTAGTATTTCCCTCTATGCGATTGACATTCTTGCCTTCGCTCTTAAACAACAACCCTGATCCCATCTGACTTATATTCATTGCCATACTATCCAACCCCTTCACAACATCTCTACTTCTATCCAACGTTTCAAACGCGAGAAGAGAATTGGGATGGACGCTTGAGCCGGCGAGAGTTGTGTTCTTTGACCGTCTGAGGGATCCAAATACCGTGAAGTTTGAGTCTTTTTCGGTTTGGACAACGGTGATATTCGCTTCCAGTGGGTATGTGTAAGTGTATCTAGAAGGCATCGCGCCCTCCCTGATATCCGTCCCTTCTGTTGTAATCTTGTTGATTTGATTAAATCCCGACTGTGCATATCTTGCATTATCAGTGTGAGCCAACCTTTGACTCCATCTCGTTCTCTGCACCCCGAACTTCTTAGTTGTGATAGTCGCTTCGAGAGATAGATTTCTTGATACGGAGAGTGTATAATCCAGTGCGATATTCTGACCAGTGGAATTCTTCTGCGTCCCTTGAGACATCTGGATGTTTAAACCATCTGCCTGACCAGCCTTCGGCAAGTCCCCCGTGGTCACCGCGTTCGCATCCTCGTCCGTCCAAAGAAAGAGCTTTCCGCTTACCACCCAAGACGCAGTGGTATTCTTTGATAGCGAAGCAGTGACACCGTTATCATCCAACCCTACAACTCGAATCTCAAAAGTATGCTCTCCACCATCACACAACACACCGAGAAATGGCGAGACATCAATCTCATATTCCTTCAAATCAAAAGCATCGATTCCCACCACCGGATTCCAAAACGAAAGAATTACCCCTCCTGTAAAAATGACGGGAAATGGCCATTGAACCCCAACTAACATTCCATCCATATACACTTGTACTTCTCGAAATGGCGAATTTCCTGATAATAAACTACCGGGTACCAAGGTTCCATTGGTGGTAGTTTGGGCGAAGGTGGCGATTGAGGATGTAAACACGTTTGACCACCAGAATTCTTCGTCGCCTTGTCCCGTGGCGGAGAGTGAGAATACGGCTCGATTGGTGTTTCGAGGGATTTTAAGGGTAGTGAGGGCGGTGTTCTCTGGGACTCTGAAGACTGAGGGCGAGGTGGTGTTTCCGTTTGATATGGGAAGGATGAGCGTTGCTGGTGGAGTTTGCGAGGATAGGTTTGGGAGTTTGAGGAATGTGGCTGTTAGGGTTGTGTTGAAGACTCCTGTTAACTGGTTTGGAGAGTCTGTTAGACGATAGCTGGATTAAGTTGGGGGAGGAGAGAAAGGGCAGAAAGAGCTTACGTTTACATTCGTTTGATTCGGGAGGTCGAAGATTAGCGTTTGAGGAGATTTCCAGAAATACATGTATCTGTGATTGTTCTTTTAGTTCTAGCATTCTTTGGGCGAAAGAAATGGACTCACTCAGACATATCCTTAACATAAGTCCAGACGATCCCATCTCTTTTCGGTTCCTCGGTCGAAGTACGAAATACCTCGCTGGCTCCAAAATACCTGTCGTCTATTTTTAGATATATACCCTGAATATTAAGCTAGAAATGTCAGGAAAGTTACATTATAGCCAGTCGGTCAAATTGTTGTCCCCTTGTTGTAACAGTAAGGTTCATCATCACAACATCAGCATCGGCCATACACCTCGGTGGTGGTCTGTAATCCCCTGCAAATCAAGCAACACAATAAGTCTTTGAATAAATTAAGTCCGATCGAATGGGCCATACTTACCAACAAATGGCTTTCCGAAAGAAGAGGCAAAAACAGACTGCATGAGTACGACCTGACATGGCGTCCCAGATGCCGCAACACTGGATACTGGCATGTCAATAGCCTTGAACGTGCTGTTTGAGAATACATCTTGAATCCTTCCATCTGGAGCCAGGTTCGGGACCGCGAGTTGAAATGTGTTTATGGGCTGAGGTATTGAGTTTGCGACTAGTTGAGATTCCTCAAGGAAGCGGGTAGGAGGTGCGTTAGGGTAGGTCGGGAAACTTCTTTTCTGATCGTGATGGAACTTTGAAGGATATTTGGAAAGGGCAAAAAACCATATTATGTAGAAGGCTGTAATTATTGACTGGAAGGTTAAAATTTGATACCAGGGGAAGGAACGCAAGCCTCTCGGTGTTGTGGTTTTGAGACTTTCGCTATCGGATTTTTGGGAATGAACTATTGAATTTGTTTCTCTCGTAGGGCGTGGACTTTTTTCGAGCTCAACCTGTTCTCCATGGTCCATTTTTACAATTGACCCTCCAAAATCGCGAATTCTCCAATCAAGACCCAGTCTCGGTTGGTCCTTCTTTTCCGCCACTGCTAAACCACGTTGAAGCCCACACCAAACCAATACCAGAAATGTTCCAGAGAGCTGAGCTGATAATACAAAAAGTATCAATGAGTAAGAAGGAAAAGTGAACAAAAAGAGACAAACGCCGGCCGAAAACAACAATATATATGAACAAATGTTGAAAAGAACCTCGCCGTCCAACAATTGCGTGAATAAAGCAATATAAATAGCTTCAGGACAGATGACTATGCCACATCATTCACTGCATATGACTGGTGGCTGATGCTTTACTGATAAGCTATCATGTTTCGACATTTCAGATGATACAGAAACGCACAGATGAGGTCCATGAGCAACGGGTTGGGAGTTTCCGAGTTTCTCGCTTAATTTCCAACGTCAACTGCTGCTTCCGCAACAGCCGGATTCATAAGAGTGGAACATGAGGTGATAAATAGCTACGTATGTTTTAGTTAAAACATCGAGTATTGGCTAGGAAGCAAACATTTATCAATTTCTTCTCAGGACATGCAGGTGGAAGGAAGAACAAATAAATAGTAACAAGGTTGCGGCGGCTGAAGAGACACCTATTGAGAAAACTTTTGCGTTATAGAATGAAAGGAGCATTAGTAAAGTGGGCGGTGATGTGCTTGACGACTTGTGTTATTAACACAGGGAATACTGCAATATTTCCTTTATCTAGGCAAGATTGTGAAGCATGCTCCATGGTTTTCAATGATTGTCGTTTGCTAGTTTGCCATAGATACCCAGATTTACTAAAAAGATGATATTGAAGTTATGTTTCCATGGTTTTATTGCTTTGTGTGATGTTTTCTGGATCCAATCATTATGTGTCTGGGGTTCAGAATCAGCAGAACATAGCAATGGAAACATTGCTGGGATCTTTATATATAAGACAATTATCCTCTCCTTCTTTTGTGCTCCACTGTATGGCAGGGTTATAGACTCCCTATAAATGTGCTTCACCGATTCACTTGTTTTCATATGAAACTCCATCTAGCCACTGACTAAATCACGCGCCTCATGATCTACGTTCATTGTATGTAGATCAAGAGATTAGCTGGGAGAAGTTGTAAAGTGACGCAATTACTAGCTCCTCCACGAAGCGAGCCAAGCTTCTTTGATGGCTTCTTATTGTACATTAAATTCTGATCTGTCCCGTCCCATAGTTACACCTTCAGCGATCCGACTAAACTTACCAGTCTTGTTATGAAAATGGTATTGATTAGCCGGATTATCCAATCACATTCGTAGAATGAAAAGTGCTCAATAATTGTGAAATGCAACAAGACTACGGAAGCGTGACTTGCAGTATAGTTCATTTCCTGATACAACTGAACGGCTAAATTCTTTTGAGCAAGTCTCAAGGATAGCGGGGGTCATTTCCCAATTCGCGGCTCAAAATTCCTTCTGGCATCTTGTAACAGATTTGATTCAGTGAATTCGAGGCTTGGTGTCGGGTAGATTTCGGGAAACAAGGCACTGTAGATAGATAAGTAGCACTTCTGCTTGGAGAACTCTTCTCTCCTCGCAGACAATCTAATCATACACCCTGACATATTGTCTGCCCTTTACTCAATTTTTGTCGTACGACAGGCATCGCCATCGTACTGCAAACACCTCAAGATGAGTACTAGCAACAACAACGGGTTCGAAGGATGGGCAGCCAATACCGGCTTGCCTAGCTTCCTCAACCCATTCACCTCGTCCACCTCCCGCGACAACCACCAGCTACCACCACCACCAGAAGGAGGTTACACGATTGAGCAACTTCGAAACCTCATCAGTAAACCTACTACTATTCCCAATGACCCGGATGGTATTCGTAACGCCCTACAAGACCTCCTCAACAAGCACGACCAACTTCAAGTCCAATACGCTACCTCTCGTCGCGACGAAGAAGAAGCAATCACAGACCTTGAGAGAGAACAGAATACGACCGCAGAGCTACGAAACCAACTTCACGCTATGCAACTTCAATTTCATACCACAAGCCAAGCCTTGAATCAAGCTCAAGCTCAAGCTCAAGCTCAAACTCAAGCCCAGCCTCAAGTCTATGCCCAACCCCAAGCTCAACCTCAGCCTCTACCACAAGTTCACGCTTACCCACCCCCTCTAACACTTCGGTCACAACCTTACGCTGACCCTCAACGATTCGGCGGCACGCGACGCTCAGCTGCCGAACTTCATACATACATTATCGACCTGAAGCTGAAGTTAGCCGAGAACGCTGACTGGTGGACTACTGAGAGAAGTAGGATGGCATATGTCTTGAGTACTTTGGAAGGAGATGCTCGCAAACACATCGACCCTCACATTAACGACGATAGCTCCTTCAAAGTAAGCTTGTCATCGGTCGACGACATGCTCGATGTCTTACGCCGAACCTTTGGTAATGTCTATAGTAAGTCAGACAGCTGGCAGCTATTGAAAAAAGAGACTCAGGGACTTCGCCCTACTGACCAATTTCTAAGCTCGTTCTTAGCACTGGCGTCTGCCTCTGGAAACGAAGGCTTCCCTGTCATTGACCTTCTCATGCAGAATATGGACAGACGCATTCATGCTCAAGTCCTCTCCAGCGGCCGATATAGCGACGACATGTCCCCCCACGACCTAGTCAACCTTGTCCGAGAGCAAGACCGCAACTGTAGAAAGATCTTCGGCGAACACTTCACCAAGACCAAGCCTACCAAGCTCGCTTCCATGGCTCTTACCCCCTATACAGTCCCGACGCCTACTGCCTCTACTGCTACTGCTACTGCTTACGAAGACCCGATGGAGCTCGATATGATGAAAGTTGCTGGAAGACTCGTTTGGACTAAGAAGGACGTAGAAGCAAAGCGTCGTGCGAAGACCGATGAAGAGAAGACAGCTCGCAAAGCCTACCAAATCAAACACGACCTTTGCCACTATTGCGATAGCCCCGACCACAATATTGGCACCACTGGATGTCCCAAGCTTGAGGCTCGAGAGTCGACGAAAGCTGCGAAGGAAGCGGGAAAAGTCTAGTCTCTGACGAAAGTCGCCGTCAGAGACGTCTTCGGAAGAAGGTCCTGAAGATATCATCTCTAGAGGAAAGGCAGAAAAGTACGATGGAGGTTCCTTGTAAGGTAGTACAGAAAGGCAATACCAAACACATAACTTCTACTACTTACTTTATGCTCGACTCTGGGGCTTCAGCTCAATATTTCATTGATTCCGATTATGCGCAAAATTGTGGTTTTGAATTCGTCCCACTCGCTCGGCCTCGTCGTCTCCGCATCGCGGACGGGAGACCTTCTTCAGCAGGTGATGTTACTCATATAGTTATCTTGGACATGATTGTCGGGAAGCATGTAGAACGTCAACAACGCTTCCATGTTACTAAACTCGCCTCCCACAACATCATCATAGGACACCCGTGGCTCGCTCTCCACAACCCTCAAATTGACTGGACGAACCACAGTATCGTTTTTGGCTCTACGTACTGTAGAGGACACTGTATGCCTAGGAGGTTGGATTCGGTTCAAGTGAAATGCACTCGTCACGACGTTTCACATATCCCTAAGCCCCTGAAAGTCAGCGCTGCCTCCTTCAACCGGCTGGCATCTACTCACGGCGTTGAAGTGTTCTCTCTATCTGTTTTTGAAATAGACAAAAGGTTAGAGGAGTTAGGCGCGAGCCCTTCTACTCCCGACACCTTGTACAGCATTCGGATGGACGATGGCCTCTCGGGCCAGAAGCGCATGGAAAAGGAGTTACTGATTCAGGACGACTTCCAGCACAAAACCACCGATTCTCGCCAAATGGCTGCTGAACTCTACCTCTGCGGGGCCTCTCTAGACGACATCCAGAAGGCACTCGCAAAGTACAACAACCCTGGAGAGCACGTTGATCCTGAGACTTTGCTCCCTCCACACTTGAAGAAGTGGTCATCTCGGTTATTTAACCGTCAGAAAGCTGATACGCTACCCCCACATCGAGACTGCGACCTGAAGATTGAATTGAAGCCTGGTTCATCTCCTCCCCATGGACCTCTATATAATATGTCTATCCCAGAGTTAGAGGTCTTACGTAAGTACCTCGACGAACAGCTGAAGAAGGGGTTTATTCGAGCAAGTAAATCCCCGGCTGCCTCCCCAGTACTTTTCGCAAAGAAGCCTGGTGGAGGACTACGCTTTTGCGTGGATTACCGAGCACTAAACGATATTACGATCAAAAACCGGTATCCGATACCCCGAATCCAAGAGACACTCCAACGACTCAGCAAAGCAAGGTACTTCACCAAAGTCGATGTCATTGCAGCATTTAACCACATACGAATTAAGGAGGGGGACGAATGGCTAACAGCTTTCAATACTCGCTACGGCCTCTTCGAATCTCTAGTCATGCCATTTGGCCTTACGAACGCTCCAGCAACCTGGCAAGCCCGGATTAACGAAGTACTCCGCCCGTTCCTGGATATCTTTTGCACTGCCTACATAGACGATATACTCATCTATTCAGACGACTTGACCTCGCATCGTAAGCAGGTCGAACAAGTG